CCGGGCCAGGCCAGAGTAACCCCGGGGGTTAGTCCGGCCGGGGGGTTACTCTGGGCTAGCCCATACTAACCCCCGCCTGGCCAGAGTGGTAAATTAAATGTCAGCTGAATCCAATCTCTTCTTCTTTTTAACTTCTTTTTTTAACTTCTTCTTTTTAACCCCGGGGGGTTACTCTGGGCTAGCCCATACTAACCTCCGCCTGGCCAGAGTGGTAAGTTAAATGTCAGCTGAATCCAATCTCTTCTTCTTTTTAACTTCTTTTTTTAACTTCTTCTTTTTAACTGCACAACACAACAACCTGTAACCCCGGGCTTAGTTGAGTGGTAACTTAGATGTCAGTGTAACCAACACAGTGTCAGCTTCTGAGGGTTTCAGGGCCATGAGAAACTTGTAAGGCAATCTGAGATTCCTCTTGGTAGTGACATTAGACTTGATGTTCACTTAACTTAGCTGTCCATAATGTAATATAAGTCATAACATCCTGAAACTTCTACTTTGATGGCTACCAAGTACCCACAGAGATATAATTATTCAAAGCTAAACACTAATGACAACATCAAAATGATCATGCTTGTTTCCAAGATAAAGTGCATGCTCTGTTGTTGACTGCAGATTGAAGCTTGCGGGATAGGTCAACCATTCCATGGAGTGACCAGCTTTTGTGTGGATGAGGATGTCGCAACTCAGCAGATTCGCTGTGGCCATGATCTCTGCATCAGTTGCCCAGACTCCATCATGAGAGATGCCAGAAGTGCTCACATATTCACTCACATTCCGGTTCAAGTAGTCCTGTAGTTTCTCTGTCAAGTCAGTGTTCATGTGGTGGATGACTTTATTTCTAAGAAGGGAGTGGTTGTCCTCTGATCCTGTCAGGATGTAGCTGATGGCCCGGAAGTAGCAGTTCCCATCACCTTTGGTTTTATACATACGCCGTGGATGCCCAAGCTCCCTTGTGCGTCCACAGTACACAACCTTTACAAATGAAAGGCCAAGAGTGGTGCTAAGATACTTTCTTACAGAACTTGGTAGTGGGTTGAAAGTCTTCATCTGCTGGCGTCTCTGTGAGATGTTGATGTCATCATTGTCTGGTCCCTCACGTGGTCTTTTGAGTGTCTTCTGCTTCAGGCTGTCATTTGCAGAGTCACTAGGATAATCATCATGGGACTTGGGTGCCTTCCTTGGCCTGAGTCCTGTGGGCCTCTGGGTCAGGTTATAAGTGGGGTGCCCTCGGTATTGGGGCTTCCCAAGAGTAAAAGGCAGCGCCTCTGGCAACAGAAGGTGGATCTCTCTGGTTATTGGGGAAGTATCTCTCTTAGTAGGAAAAGACAGCAGCCACAGAAAGCAGGCCTGGGGGGTTAATCTGGCCCGGGGGGGTTATTCTAGCCTAGGCCAGAGTAACCCCGGGGTTACTCTGGCCGGGGGGTGAATCTGGCCTGTTACAGCCGGCCAGATTAACCCGGGGTTACTCTAGGCTAGGCCAGAGTAACCCCTCCGGGGTTATTCTAGGCTAGGCCAGAGTAACCCCGGGGTTACTCTGGCCGGGGGGTTAATCTGGCCTGTTACACCGGGACTTGCTCCCAGGTACCGCTGGCTCCTCGTTATCTTTAGAGGAGACTCGAGGGCTCCCAAGCGGGGGTGCAGTGCAAGGGATGCGATCTAGCCCCCCCCCGCCTGTGGCGACAGGCGAGTGGAAGTCAGTGAATTGTCCCCAGCAAGAAACGAAGAGCACTCATGCAGACATGAGTGCCTAGCTGTCGCTACCCACTAAGAGAGACCTAAAAAATTGTACCTCATCCACAACATCGATGAAGCATACCACCATGGGTACTTCTTAAAGCAACTTTATGTGAAACTCTACTATATAATGTCAGCCCTTTTAAAGTTTAAAAAGACTGGAAGGGAGGGGTAAAGATCTTTTTTCCAGGCCCCCCAACTTTATTGCGGCTATGAAAAGGATCTAAAATTAACTACACAAATAATCTATTGGGCGAAGAAAACAAGAGAGCACCCTGTCAAATTGATATCTTCAAGATTTATCACTTTCTCTACTACTATGAACTTTACTGAGAGCCTAATAAATTTTCTTGTCCTTTGTATGAAGACTTTGAAATAAATATTGAACTTTGGGATATGTTATAACTTAATACTTGAAATATAAAGGCTGATATTATAAATGGATCTTATTCTGGTTTTTTAATGTATCTAGTTTCCATAACAATCTATGTTTACCTTTACTGAAACTGTAAAACTCCACTTCTTTTTACTTCATTGCTTTGGAATGCAAATTACGGATAAGCTATTTGCCCTATGCTAGTTTTGTCTAGAACTTTATAGCTGCTGACATATACACTCTAAAATTGTTATCTCTGTAAAACTTGGGTTTGGGAAAACATCTATAGAGACTCCTTGGCTTTAATACAACTTTGGAAAAATGATTTCTCAAGATAGACTGCAAATGACCCCAGAAGCTTTATTGTCAGTTATACCAGACTCTACGGACAATAAACCTACCCAGGCTCCCCTGCAAGATTTTTTTAATGGTCCAAAATACACTTGCTGTGGCCAAAAAAGATACAATTGAAGAAACTTTTCATTCAGTACAGACAGAAATACAAATATGGACACAACAATTTAAAACCGAGAGAGAAACAGCATGGAAAGAGGAGGAAAAAAGCTCTGACTGCCCTGAAAACATAGAGGAAACCTGCAAGCAAGACCACTGGACCTACAAAAAAGAATTTATGCCCACAAAGAGAAATACAACCTTGACAAAAATGTGCCAGAGACTCTATAAAAGAACTATGGCTGCTGAAACTCCCAAAATACTCACTTCCTTACCATTTCAGAGACAACAAAAAAACCAATTTATGGAACTACAAGCTACCATTAAGAGGGAACATAGATGGTTGTTTCCAGATGACAATTTTCACACTTATAATGGAAAAAGACACAGAATCAAGACTTTAAAACTTAAGAGGAGGAACCGGAAAATTAAGCCAAGGCTGATATCTATAAAAATTCTGGCGAAACTATGAGGAAATTCCCTCCCTTTTAGGAGTACCTCATTTATATATTGAGGGAATCCCAGATACTTTTGATGGAGCAAGATCCTAATAAACTTGTATTCAGAATATAGAGTCATACACTTTACCATATAATTCAAAAATTTAATAGCATGTTTAGGGAAAGTTTATAATAGTAGAAAATAAGAAAATGTATATTAATGTATTTGCAAACTTTATATAATCCATTTAAGGTGTAAAAATGAGACAGAGTTTCCTACTGTCTGAGGTACTCTAATAGAGAAAAGACCAATATGAGTTATTGTATCCCATATTATGTTTGTTTGTTTTGGAAAAAAAATAAAAATGTTACAAAAAAGAGATAGAGAGAGATTCTCAAGAACTATTTTAACAAAAATGTCAAACCTTTTAAAAATTTACATATCTGTTAGCAAACAACAGGGGGTGAAACTCCAACATACTAAGTTTGCAGCCTTATACAGAGTTGCTCCAGTCTAAGACCACTTATCTCAGTGGGTTGACACTGTGGTATCTGAATAGGATTGCACTGAGAGACATGTATTTGATTCTTAGAACTGCTAAGCAGTAAGCACACTATAGTAGTTTCCTAGAAGAAAACAGCATGTCATAATGGTAAAGATGACTCTTTGGTGATGTCTCTCTCTTAAAAGTCACCAAGATTAATTAAGTGCACACTACCACCAAAATGCTACTGTTAGCCAGTGCAGCTTGCATAATATGTTTATACGTGCACTGCCATATAGCACAGTTCTTATTGATATTTCTCATAAAGTTTACCTTCTGAAGACATTTCAAAGATTGTATAATATTGCATCAGGCCACAAGATGGCAATATATCCTGCCAAAGTCAGTTCATAGCAAATTTGATTTGTAGATCTGGAACCATTTTACTCAGATCAACACAATCACCATAACTTTCCTAGCTTTGTAGAAGCCCCTCACTTTGAATCTTTTTATTCAACATAGATAATTCCATTCTATTTTTCCCACAGACAAGCATTAGAAGCATGTCAAACTACAGAAACAAATAAATTCCCTGCCAGTGAATTGACTGCAAGCAAGCCCCTTACAGCACAATCCTATGCAGAGTTATATGCTTTAAGGCCCATTTACTTCAATGGGCTTAGAAGGGTGTAATACTGCTTAGGATGGAACTGTAAATTTCAGAGAGTCATACTAAAAACAGTCATCTGAACATTGTAATATATGCATATGAACAGCTTACCAAACATTTTATTCTTTACTGCTTAGCACATTTTTGCACAACCCAAAAATTATTTAGGAGGACTATCTCAAGGTAAAAATATAGCTGCATATAACTGAGATATAACTAACAAATACATGACAAAATGTTAACATCCCTGTCTATCCCAAACTCCAGTTAGTGCAGAACACCACAGTTCAGTTATCAGCAAGGAACTAGGCAGAGCATGCACGTTACACCCATTCTGCTGTCACTCCATTAACTGTCTATTAGTTGCCAGGTTCAATTCAAGGTACAGGCCACCACACAAAAAGCCATTCATGGCCTTGGCCCCTGATATATGCAGGACTTCCTCTCTCCATGATAATCTTGTTCATCTGAGCAGA